TTTTTTTTTGGGGGGGGGGGGTTGTCGAGGGGTTTGGCCACCGGCTTCTGTTTTGTCCATCTTGTGCGCTGCGCGTCTCAGGACATCGGGATGCACCTCTCGGCTTTCTATGCCTGTGCTGCCTGCAAAGAGGATCGCTCCACACTCGCTTTGCTCCTTGGCAACCCGCTTCGTGTTCCACAAGCATCCGGTGCATGTCCCATCGGGCCAACGTTGCTGAACGTGCCAGCAGGTTCAAGACGATGCAGGGCGCAGGCCAGCGGCAGCAGTTTCAAGCCTTGTGCCCTTGATGCTCCAGGACCCTTCATCGCGGAACCCTTTCCTCACCGAATCTTCTTGAGTCTTTGAGCAGGCTTTTCGCCACCACGCGAAGCTTTCGAGGCAGCAATCGCGGCCGCGGCCGATTGGGCGGATGCTCTCGAGCAGCCTGGCCGCCACAGGGGGCAATGCCAGAGCTGTGAATGATGGGACCAATAAGTCGAAGCCGGGTACAGTAGGAGCCGGGTATAGAGTAGTGGGACCGGCCTAAATCCCCCAAAACCCTTCGGCTCTTCAAAAAAAAGCCGGAGCCTTTAAAACTCGAGGTTGTTCGTGGAGGGCCTGCAGAAGTCCCTGCCACTGAAGCCGGAAGCAGGCGAGGCCGTGATGGAGCTCCTTGCGACACTCGGCAGAGAGCGTTGTCGCAGCTGCGAGCCTCCGAGACCAGTAGCAGGAGCACTAGTAGACATTACCGCCCTTTTTCGCAAGGGGTACTGGAAAATAATCACCAATAATGAGGCGAGAAGCGCAATGGGAAGCAGCTCTGCAGCTGCTGGCTGCGATCAGGGCGAGCTCGCTTCAACGCACGGAGCGGCTCCTCACTGCTGCCATGTTTGCTTGCCGGAAGCGCCGGAAGTGGTGGCTTGTCCTAGGCAGGAGACCAAACTTCAGGGCAACTAGGGGATGAAGAGCAATATAAGGAAGTCGAAAAACAGGGACACCAAAATGAGCAAGTTTTTTGTACTCGCGGTTCTTACCCAACACTAGATCCCAGATGTTATGGAGGCCTCCTGACGCAAGCACGGGAGCGCCGGGCCCTCACCGACCTCGGGATGTGGCTCGTCCTAACTTTCTTGCAGCCTTTGTCTCTCGAGTGGAATAAGGGAGGGGTGAGTTGAAAAGAGAGCCGAGGTACCACCATGCCCTGGGCGCATGCTCCCGCAGTCAGGTGCGAGGGACGCGTATATACCGCGACGGACACCCTAAACTGGGCCCTAAACTCCTCCGAAACCCTAAACCCTAAACCCTAACCGGAAACTCCTCCTAAACCCTAAAGCCGAAACCCAAAACCCTAAAGCCTTAAACCCCTAACATCTCCTAAACCCAATACTAAGCCCTGAGAGTCTCAGAGTTTCAGAGCGTCCCTGATTTGGGGAGGTCTGGCAGCAGGCCTTGGCCGTTTGGGCCCAGATGGAGCTCTTGGACTTGCCAACGGAGAGGAGCTACGCCTTGCTCATCGACGCAGTGCGAGTGCGACAAAAGCACCTGGTGCCCTTCTTTATCCAAAAGGCTGAAAGCAAAAAACTTCGGCTGAGCAGAAGTGCCTACTGCGAAGCTCTTCGCACGCAGCAAAGAGCTTCGCAGTGGCAGCAGATGGTCCTCTTGCTGTCTAGCATGGAAGCATCGCAAGTGGTGCCGGATGCCGGGATGTGCGAGATAGCACTGCGGCCTTTTGGGAAAATGGCTTTCCGCGCGTGGGAGTATGGTGTCGCCCTGCTCCGGCGGGCCGAGCAGCAGGACTTGCATCTCGACGGAGCCGCCTACAGGCACCTGGTTCGCGCTTGCAAGAAATCGCAGATCTGGTCCCAAGCGAGCCTGCTGCTCATTTCGAGCCTTAGATCTAAGTCGGAACGTTTTTGGCTATGTGTGAGAGGGTACAGAGCACAGAGCACAGAGCAGCCTTCAGATTTTCCCTTTGGGAAGCCTTCGCCTTCGCCCAGGAAAGCTCGGAGCTCGGCGACCTGGGAGGAAGCCCTCGAGACCTTGGCCACAGCCGCGGCCGCCAGCGCCTGGGCGGAGGCCTATGAGCTCCGTGAGAGAGTTTGGGCATGGGCATATGGTCCGAGAGAGTTTGTTTGCATGTGGGCCCTGGTTTTTTGCCCCCTCGTTCTGTATCGTATGAGTGAAGTGTGTGTGCGGCCGTAGAGGATGGAAGTCTGGCCTCGGCGGCCTTTTCGGCCTGGCAGTGTGCTTTCTGGGCCTTGCTGCTCTCCGGGCCTCCTCCCGGGCCTCTCTGCGAAGCCGCGCTCCGTCACCCGGCCGGCACGACAAGGGATTTTCCCCGAGCTTCAGGACTCCTGCGCTTGGCGCTTGACCGAGCAGAAGCATGCCAGAAGCAAGCCCAGCGCATGTTGAAGGTCCTGCGAAAAGTTGCAATGAGGTCAGCATGTCATTGAGTGCAAGTTTACCGTGGTTTCTCAGGGATCTCTGCGGCTGCTGGTGAGTGGCAGCAGGCCGGGAGTTGCACTTAGGGTTTAGGGTTTAGGGGTTTAGGGTTCAGGGTTGTGACCATAGGGAGTTCTGTCTGGTGAAGCCCCAGCTGCTCCCTGTTGTCTCCCTCACTTTCTTCCGCTTTCCTCTGACCCGGCCAGGCTGTGGCCGCTTTCGCCGGGATAGATGAGCCCATGCGCTTTCGAGCTCCTGGGCTCATGTAGAACGACGATGATCACCCGAATTAAGTATTGCTTACTGCCACTACTGCGATCATCGTTATCATCACTGTCATGACTATCATCACGATCATCATTGCCAGCACTATGACTATCAGCACCATCATAACTATCACCATCCCTGCTGTTTGTTTGAAGCCGATGATTGGTGCTTTAGTGTATCGTTGCGCATCTTCATCATTGGCTGTGTTAGACACCGTGCCCAGGACCCTGCCTATGCTGCTCCAGTGGTCCAGGCTTGCCAGGACTGTGACTTTCTGAGGTTCGCTCTGCGTTTTTGCCAGGAGGAGGTCACCGTGATGTGGAGAAAGGCGCCCTAGGAGCAGCCCCCCAAGTCTTTCGTAGAGCCTCGAAAGACTTCAAGGCTCCTGCTATTGCCAGCTTCCCAACTCTGAGATCCGAAATCCTACAAGGATTGTTTCAAAGAAGCTCGGCTTCTGCGGCCTAATAGCTACTGAAGCTGTGCTTCTAAAGATCTGAGAACACACTGAGAACACCGCTCCCTGCAGGATGCCCTGGAGTGGCAACAGGCCCTGTCTCTGCTGAGCCAGGCTCGGACAGAGGATTTTGGGAGAAACGCTCTGCTTCGAGACTTTGGTACAAGTTGAAGAGTTCGGCAGTGCCCGTCCCATGGTGTCTTGAGAACGCTGCAGGTCCAGAGAAACAGCTTGGAGCTGGGCCTCATGGACCTGGGCCTTGCCTTCTGAGCGGAGGATGCCGGGTAGCGGTCGACGTTGCAAAGATGGCCTGTTTTTTTAGTATAGAAACCCTCTGTGTCAAAGTTGGGGTCTCGTGGTATCATCATCGTCATGGTTGAGTGGAGTATTCCCGGAGGAGTGACGAACTAATGCCAACGGCTTCCAAGCGGCAGCCTGGCGCCTTTGCCGAAGCTGTCCCACGTTTTCAAAGAGTGCGGCGTGCTCCCAATCGCTCCGAAGGAAGTGTATACAACAGCACAACAACGATTAAGTCAGTATGAAAGCAACGGTTCTTGTCATAGTAGCAGTCGTGGCCATGCTGTTGCTTCCGTCGTGACCGCCATCGTCTTGATGCGTACGATCCTGCCTTCACATTATGTATATTTTACGTGTACACATAAACTTGTATGTAGAAAGAGATCTAGATATGTACTTCTGGCAGCAGAACAGTTAGTGTTCGTCAGACGTGACAGATAGTCCCACACGTGCACTTCCGTGGTGCTTGGAGACCGGCGCAACGTGCACTGACTCAGCGCTTGCTGGCCCAGGTGCCAGTGTTCCAAAAGACACCAGACAGGGGAGTTTTTCAAGAATCTAGGAGGGGCCTACGAGACAGGCCTCTGATCTAAAAGACAGGCCTGCCTTCTTAATCAGGCGCCCGGTCTTGAGAAACTCCTGTTGTGCGATGCCAAGTCTGCCAAGTCGTGGAGAGCCCTTGAGACACGTCAGGCGTAAGAGAAAGCAACATGGCGCGGACTTCCTTCCTGATTGCTGTGTAGAAGGGCTTCTGCCATCTTCGGATCATGCCGCGGAGTATGACAGTGGGATGTTGCTGACTGGGGTCCTTGTCATGGCAGTTCATGCTTTAGAATTCAAGACGGTCAAGACGGTTCAAGCATCACTGCCGCGAATGAAGCCGTTCAGAGGTATCTGGCAACGCAAGTTCGCTACCTCAGCAAGCAACCCCAAAAAGAGGCCTATTTAAGCCTCTTGTAAACCTTGGATGTTCGATGCGCAAGACCCCCGGAAGGACTGAACCCTGAGACCCAGAAGCCCCCGAACTCAAACAAACTTCTTGCGCCCTGAAGCCAAAAAAAGCCGACGGAAGCCACCGATGGAAGACTCCGCAAGACCTGACAAAGTACCGATGTACGGCAGCATATGGCGTGTGAAGCCCAGGCCAGGGCCCGGGCTCTGTAGAGGATTTTTGTGGGGTAGAGCCCCAATCAGAGTCTGAAAGTTCTGATTAAGAAGTAGAGGGCTCATGACGTTGGAGGAATCCGTTCAAGAGCTTTGGCTCAAGCTCTCGTGGTTTGCCTCAGCGGACCCCCTGGAGTCCCCCTGGTCACGCAATGTGCTACAGATACCTCAGCTTCGTCACCAACCCTTCGGGCCAGACGATCTGGGACTACTTCGCCCTGTTCCGTCGCCAGGCGTTCGTGGACTTGGCGCTTGTCTTAGTGGTGCTTCGCAGCGTTCTGCTCCAGGGCACGGATAACTTAATAGGGATTCTGGGGGTCTGCGTGGTCCTGATCTGGCTCTGTGACGCGGCGCTGGTGCTGCATTTCAGCGGTCGTGTTCGCGAGACCTGTGGCCGGAATCCTGCTTCCATAAGCCAAGACGACATGGACGGCCTCATCCAACGGAAGCGAATTCTCGTTGCCGTCTCCTTGTTGGGACTTATCGTCTACGTGGCCCGATTCTGCGTGGAGCTGTCGGTGATCAGTGAGCTAGGGGATCCGGAGGCAATGTATCTTCCCGGCGTCTTGGTGCTGGTGGTGGTGGTGATAAAGGTATGTCGGCTGCTGGCATTGAACTCTTTCAGCAATTGGATCCGAGGCCGGCACGGCCCGCCCAGCCCGCGCTTGTCAGCAAGTGCTCCCAGCGCCTAATCCGACCCGGAAAATTTTTCGAGAAAAAAGCGAGCGACCCGTCGGTTAGCAGCCTACACTGATGCTGCAATTTTAGGTACCGGCAAGCTCCTTAGACCCCTCGGGTTGGCGCTTTGAGCCGCCCACGGGTGCAGAACTCGATAGTGAGCATCAGAATTGGCAAACTCACAGCAGACTGCTGATGATGAGAAGGGGAGGAGAATGAGGCAAACATCGCAAGCAACTTGAGCAGAATGACAGTTTCCAGAAAGATGCATGAACTTTGATCCCGGAAGGCGCAGCCTTCTTCGCAATGATGCAGCCGCTGCTGTGAGCCGCGACTACTTCATGGTGATAAGATACACGCTTGAGATTGTCGCCTTCACCTTTCTTAGGAGTTCTTTCCAATGTCATTCCACCTCGTCATCTTCGTCCCTAGTACCATCATGACTATTGTCGCGCATCGCATGCTTTATCATTATCATGAGATGTCATCATCTTTACCATCAGCAGCGCGTCATCCGGTCAGCCCCAGTACCTTCAATTTCTCATCATCATCATCATCATCATCATCAGCATCAGCATCAGCATCAGCATCAGCATCAGCATCAGCATCAGCATCAGCATCAGCATCAGCATCATGATCATCATCGCCACCGCCATCGCCAAAGCCAACAACAGCCGGCACCATCATCTTCGTCACCGCCACCACCACCACCGCCGCCACCACCACCACCACCACCACCACCACCACTCCACTATCACTCGGCGTCACGGTCACTTTCATGTTTAACCTCGCCCGAAATCTTCGCCTGTCGGCACCGACCTCTTCCGATGTCATTATTGTAACCAGATTATCACTCGCATCGCCAACATCATCGGCATAATCACCATCATCATCACCATGATGTTCATACGCTTGCCATCATGAGACTCATCGTCGTTTCTGCGACTTTCTCTTTCGTCTCCGTCAACATCGTCTTCACCAGTACCACAACCGCTCATCGTTGCGGTACCTGTCCGCATTGTGACTTTCGTGGTCTGGAGGATCGAGAAAATCGATCCGCATGAATTGGCATTCAGTAGGAAAGACAAGGTGAGCAGTCGTGGCCGGGCTGTTGCGCTGTTGCCGCCGTCGAGATCGCCTTCGTCATATGGTCCCACAGCAGGGTTTGTAGTAGACACGTAGCAGGCGGTCCAACAGTCACACTGCCACGCCCCAAACTCAAGACCGTGAAATGGTTGGGTTGAAATCGAGTCTTTGCACTCCTGTGGTGCTTGGAGACCGGCGCATCGTGCACTGACTCAGAGTGGCTGGCCCAGGTGCCAGTGTTCCAAGAGACACCAGACAGGGGAGTTCTTCCAGATTTTAGGGGAGGTCCTGCCTGGGCTCTGGAAAGAGACCGGCCCTTCTTCTTAATCGATGTCTCTGTTTTGAGATTCTCCCATCTGTTGTCCGGTTCCGAGTCGTCAAGAACCCTTGAGGCACGTCAGGCGTGAGAGAAAACAACATGGAATCATGGAGCTGAATGTCTGACTGCTGTGGCGACGGACTTCTGCCATCTTCTGAGCCTGCCGGGAGGTATGACGGTACGCATGATGTTGCTGGCCGCATTTCTAGGCCCAATCCACTTGCCACGGCTTCAGACCTCCGTCCGCCATGTCGCTGCTCTTTAACGCGTTCGCGAGGGCGCTTCTTATCGGAGCGAATGAGGACGGGGCGCAGACGCAACTACAGTTTATTGAAGGCACCTTTCAGAGACGGAGCCTCGCTGAGGCCATCAGGCAGGGGCGATCCCTCCAAGAGGAGCTCGCCGAGCTGTATTCAGCATGGGACTGCAGGTGCTGGGCAGCGGCGGCCTTAGCGTCCGTTTGGACTTGCTCTCTTCTTGCGATTGACGAGATTGACATGACCATGAGGGGTCCACGTCACAAGGCCGGTTTGTTGTCATGTTAGGACTACGGTGACTACAGCTGTCCTCCTGCTGCTCTTACTATTGCTATTTTCCGATTCGGTCGGCTGTGCGAGCTTGTCCTGAGGCACACAAGGTGGACAAAGACGAATTCGTTTTGTGATGGAAGGTTGGCATGGGTAACTGCGAGGGATGGTGCAAGGCTCTTTCTCTGTGCTGTCTCTGTGGCAGGTCGAACTCGCCGCTCCAGGGTTTCCAGCAGGCGATCCGAAGCTCCGACTTTGTCAGCGAGTCTAGCAATAGCCGCTAAGCTAGGAGAACACTTTGATCCCCGACCGCCAACCCTAATCGGCCCCAATCCCGAATCGACAATTCGCCCAGCTGCAGTCTCTTTCAAAAGCGTGCAAAGAAGAAGACTGCTCTTCGGAAGCTTCAAGTCGAGTGGCCATATAATTCTACAGCGAAATACGGAGGTCGCCAGATTGCAGGTTCATGGGACTTGGCAGGTAGTTCCTCTCGGGGTCTCGGGTTTAAAGTTTAGGGCCTGTTCTGGGCCTAGACTCTATAAGCATTCACCCTTGCAGCGAGCTACAGAACTGCGGGCTACGTCGGATGCCTGAGAGCATTCGGTTAGAGTTAAGACTTCCCACTGCCAGGCAGACCACTTCAGCAACGCAACATCGCTGCCGCGGCTCCTCCTAAATAACATGTGCAAGCAAGAGGGCAATCTGCATGATGTCGGGCAAAATCAATACACTGGCTGCTTCAGAAAATAGACGATGAAGAACTCAACAGACTCAGCACTTTGTTGATGCCTTAAGCTTGCCAGGATCACTCTTGATCGGTGCATGCTCAGGATCGTGTACAACCGGTCCATCAGCGCATGCCGAAGATATGCAGGATGGGAGGATGCTTGCTCCCAATCTACAGAAGACGTCTTCTCGGAGGAGGTGTCTTTGATTGTCTTTGGGTTTGGTGCGCCTTCGCTTCCCATCATTTCCCATCCAAGGAGGCGCTTCGGATCCTCCATGGACTCAGGTCTGCCTCGCTGCAGTGCGACCTTGTCGGCTCCTTGTCCGTGCGGGCGGTTCTCGATTTAAGTGTTGAAAGATGTTTAAAGAGAGGCCTTTCTGGGAGCCGTGGCAAGCCGGGCAAGCCTTCAGCTTTCGAGGCTGCAGCTCCGCAATGAGCGTCTGCGATGCAGCTTCGCAGTGGCAGCGAGCCACGGCGCTGCTTGAGACGACAAAGGCCACCCTCGGGCCCCGAAGCTGAAACTTCAGTGCTGAAGCTCCTCGTCTCTGCGACAGAGAATCTCAGGCTTCCAGACGTGATCATGTACGGCGCAGAAATGAACGCTTGTCAAAAAGGCAGGCAGTGGCAGCGAGCCATCCGGTTGCTCAAGGACTGAATCGTGAGTGAACGATAGTGGAAAGCAATCGTTACGGGGCTGCCTGGTCCCCGCAAACTTCGCTGTAGGTTCTCTCTTTGTGTGTTTGCTTTCCGCACCGAACAGTTGCGGCTTGGCTTCGCTCGCAGCTTCCGGAGGATCTGCGCCGCAGTTTGCGGGCGGACGTGGTAACGTTGAACACCGCTATGTGTGGCCCATCATCAGGCTGGATGTGTTGTGGTGTCTATAAACTATAAACTCTGTAGCTTGGTAGACTTGAATGCTTGCATATTTGCTCCGACAAAGTTCGTAGACAGAGCGAGAAGCGACGCAACTCCATGTCTCTTACCAGATCTGGCTCTACCGCTCTAAGGCGAGTGGCAAAACGCCACCCACCTGCTTGAGGAGGCTGCCACTTAACTGCATTTGTTGCGGCAGATTTGAGAGCTCTTGGCTTCAGGTTCCAGCTTCAGGTTCAGGAAGAGTTGAAAGAGCATCCCAGACCTTTGGAGGACCCAGGCATGGTGTGAGGGGTTGCTTAATGAGCCATCCGGTCCCTACATCACTGTGTCTTTCGGGGCCGAGACCAGGAGAGATATGCATGCGAGGGAGCGCGAGTTGGCTCGCTCAAGGCCTCTTGGTCACTGCAGCCGAGCATGGTCAGCTACAATGTCGCTATGCGAAGCCAGCCGGCTGCAAACATCTCTTGCTCAGTTCCCCCTGTAGCTTTCCTAAGCCTTACATGGGGGTTTCCGAAAATAGGGGACCCTAATATAGTACCCCAGATAGTAGGATCCTTATTATAAGGACCCCAAAATAACGTACCCCTAGTTTTCGGAAAACCCCACATAATTGAATCGCGCTGGGCAGTTAAGAGCCCGGAGCCTCTGAATCCACTGTGACAGTTGCAATGTTCAGCCACTTCAGCCATCGAGAAAGGGGCTCCCACAAGGCAGAGGCCCTGCTCTTCAGCATTGAACTGTAGAGTCTGTAGAGTAAGGAGCCTTCAAGTTCCGAATTGTTAAGCTCCGAGCGCCCTCAGACTCTCCAAACCTCATGAGCCAAAAACATTGTAACCCTAAACCCTAAACCCTAAAACTCTATTACCCCGCCCCCCCCCCTTTCCGTGGCGTGTTCCGTTTGCCAGACGAAGGTTCGAGCTGGAGGAGGGCCGCAGAATTTCTGATGGCGGCCGGAAGGAACAAGTTGCGATCCACGGTGGCTTGCGAAGAGGGCATCGAGGTTTTATGGGCTTGTGTAGAAGGTGATCAGGGGTTTGGGGGATTGTGTGTTTATTTCGCAGTGCGGTTGGGGGCTTAAGCATTAAGTCATTAAGGTTTGCTGAGGCAGCTAGGGTTTCACTTGGTTTCAGGGAGGGCCGAGCAGGTGCGGAATTCTCTTCGCGGGGGCCCCTGGCATGTCCCGACCGACCTTTTTGAGGTAACCACTTGCGGCACGATGCTGGCTTGTGAGCTGCCCTGGACGGCGGAGCTGGCTCCACGGCTGAACTGATCCTCCGAGTAGCGGCGGAGTGATGTCGGGCTTCCGGTGGGTTGGGCCTTCGCGTTCTCGCTGAATTTAGGAGGTTTTGGCGGCTTCACTCCAAGCTTGAAGGACGAGGGTATCGCAGAGTTGGCTCAGAAAGAATCAGCACCCCATGATTTTCGCTCTCAGCTCCCTGTTCTCCCGGGGGAATATGCGACATACTGGGGGGGGGGGCCTCAGACTGCTGGGATCTGCTGGGCCTTGCAGGTTCATCTCTCTCAGATGCAGTCCCAGCAGCTGGAGCAGGGCACTCAGTTGCCTGCTCTTGGAGCCTCAGCAGAGCCTCTTTTTCTCCAGCCTCTCTTTGTTCCGATCCCGATTGAAGAGAGGAAGATCCCCTGCCTGAGTTGAGGCAAGTTGGAGTTGGATTGTTCCTCTTGTTGCTCGGGGGATTGTTCCCGATGTATGTCCCCCCCCCGAAACCCTGAGAAGTCCTAAGTTTGTCGAGGCCGAACATCATCACTTTGAGTTCCGCGCTCTCGGCTTTGGCCGTGGAGAGCTGGGACACCTCTTTGGATCTCCTCAAAGAGGCCCGAAAGCGTGAGATGCAGCCCAACGCCGCTGGGACGCGATCGGTCTCTTAAGCTCCGATTAAGGGGAGCTCGCCTAAGGGTCTTCTTTGCAGCTTGTACATGGAGTTTTAGGGTTTTGGCCTTAAAGCTGAGAGGGGTCGGGTCGGGCAGGGGGATAGAGTCAGGAGACGGTTGAAGGCTTGTGGAGTGGCGCTTTGACAGCACCCTAAACCCTAAACCCCTAAACCCCTAAACCCTAAACTCTAAGCCCAAGGCGCAGAACTTCAGCGAAGCGTACGCCGAAGAGCTCCTGGGATCGAACAAAAAGCGTGTGAACGGGTGGCCCAAT